GGCTGCGGTGCTTCTCTGCCGCTCACTGCACAGAACAGACGCCGAGAGAGGTGACACTTGTCCGGGAAAGTCAGACCTCGCGTTCGCGGGACAGCACTGGCGAAATCTTCCAACTAAACCATAGCTAAGGTTTATCCAAAAAAGTCGCTAGGTTTGTCAGTATGAATATTCTATGGAACAAATCCGCTAAAAGGGTCTGAAAGTTGCTAAATCTAGTGTTAAAGTCGCGCTCGTGTGTGTGTGAGACGCGGGAGCTGATGGCAGGGGGCGGTGGATATTTGTGGCGGTCAATGTGGATATTGTTTATGAGTTCTTCTGTGTCATCACGTTCTATTAGTTCTACAGCTTCAGTTTCTGAACTTTCAGGCTTAGTAACACATACAGCTGTTCCCTCACCACAGTGCAACAGTGAAAAGGGACCCCTTTCAAACAGTGTCGTTCCGAACGTTGTTTAAGTGACATACACCGTATTGTGGTATTTTAAAAATTCATATCATAACAAAAATAAACACCGGTATTCGGTATGAACCGGTATACCGCCCAGTACTAGACAGTAGGCAGTTAGAATGAGGTGGGCAAAACATAGATGCCAAATACTTTGGGTTTTTTCAAACTGAAGCAGCTGCACTTTTCTCATTTAAATGACAAATCTGAAAGCAAAATTGATTATTTTGGAAATTAAAAAACCTTGATTCTTCTTTCTCATCATGCTGGAGGAAGAAGTAAAGCGGAGTCACATTCTATTACAATCTCAAGGACATGAAGGATGATGATTTTGGCCTCACAGGAGGTTCTTTCCATTCAGCGCTCACATTAAAGCTATCTGTAAACCCTTCATCCTCACTTCTGACTCTTAAACATAATTGCTCTTGAAATGAACATTTATTTTGAATGTCAAGCATCATTAAGTGGAGCAGCATTTGTTCTTTGTATGCCACAAATGTTATTTCTAAGTGTCTGTTGTGGAGGCGCCATTGCTTTGCAGTGTCACATTGTTTTCTTCTGAAACGTCCTTGAACATTGAAATATGCCCTTCACATGATCAAAACCCTCCTCCTAGGTTGGCCTTACTTCTCACTCCCTCTGTAATGGTTTATTTCTTGCCTTCTCTTTCTTACCGTGCACCCTGGACAAGCCAACATGCTAAATTTAGAGCCAATTAGAGACACCATGGAGTTAGACCTACATTGTGAATGCAAATGTGTCCCCTTGGTAGGGCAAAGACAAGTAATAGTGCCATTAAGGGACAAATTTAATGAATGCTCTTACCTTTGAGTGTGCATATGGTTTTAGCGCAATTGTTATTCTCCAAATGTGTGCACACTTCTTTGTTATTCTGGGTTGTTATACAGTATATTAATCACTAAAACAACCCGTGGTTTCTCCAACCAGAAGTAATGGTCTCAGGTGAAACCAAAAATCTGCTCTCAGAAGAATAACCCCGCTCTAGTTCAGTTCAGTGATTCTCGACGCATAATGATCAATGGTGTGACATATCTTCACCCCTTTCCTTTTGAATTGCAGGCAAAACAAAAACTTGAGCATTGAAAACTTTGTTGCTGCAATTTATATTGTTGTCTTAAACAACCATAATGATGTTGAAATGCAAAGAAATTGCATTTCCATGCTTGAAGACAGACTACTGACAGGATGTGAGGTTCATTTTATCTGACCTCAGGCCATAATGTTGGGCTATGAAGCATGTTGTGACAGTGGAGCTGCGCACTGCTGTCTTCGCTTCAATCCTTCACCACATCACACGTGCGGAATTAAATTAGCTTTGGAGTTTAAAAATGGAGCTTGACAGACAAGGGATTAGAGCAAAATAATATGCATCTGGATATAAGCAGAGCACAGCTGGGGTATTGACAGCAAGAGACCTTCATGTTTTATATTTGGTGGAGCTAGATTGCATTTGACAAAGCCTTCCTCCTTACACCAGTGCACTGGTGCTGTTTTTAGCTTTGACGGATGAACTTGCGGTCATTTAGCTGTATTAAAGCAGGTTTGGTGTATATTCAAATTGATTTCCTGTTTTGGAATTTGAATTGAATTGGCCACAGAATGTTGAATTCAACAGTCACACAACACAAGTCTTGTTACAAAAGAGTTACATCATTAATTTGGACTAATTGTGCATATTTATTTTCTATTATGTAGAATACTTTTTTCTACTTATTTGACACATAAATACTGTCCAAGCAATTAAAAAAAGAATATATATACACTACACTACCATTAAAAACTTTCTGAAAGAAGTCATTCAGTTGTGCTTTGAATTAAAAAAAAGTTGGTCACTTTTGACTAATTTAATGTGTTCTTGTTGAATATTTTGTTTCCCTTTACCATTGCTTTTGAACGGTAGTGTACAACATGTTTATGGGAAATTAATCTAAATTATGTTTATGGTTACTATTATTATAATTTTTAATTCTCATTTCAGTGCATCGGTGCATTAGCGACGGACATGCTGTGTTTGATAGGAACATTTTTGTAAAGAACCCTGCCCAGTGGTTTATATAAAGTAAAACCTGACCTTGATGAGTTGAAGGGTGCAGAGCTTATGGTCCTCCTTTGTGGGCACCAAGTGGTCTCATGCCACTGGATGGTAATTAGCTCCATTTGTCAGTCTTTCATGAGGTTAATATCTGAGCCTGAGACTGGGACAGATGCAGTTGGCTGCATGGGGTAACTGAAGTACTTACCGTAGCCTTACACTTTTGTGTAAAACATGGGTTACCAAATCTACTGAATCTTTGACAAATGTTTCTTTCACTTTTATCTCAATAGTTGTAATGGGATAATTCACCCCCAAATTAATATTCTGTCGTCATTTACTAACCCTGAACTTTCCCTTTATCAGAATTTTAATATCCAAAAACGTGGCAGTACTTACAAAGAATTTTGTTTTGCTTTTTTTGAACACATTGAGCATAAATTACAGCTTAATTTATAAATAAAGTCACTGATAGTTTGCTTGAGAAAGTTTATCTCTGTTTACATGCAGAACTGTCAAAAATGTTGATCGACAAAAGTTGAGGTGTCTTATTAAAGAATCTACTTGGTGAGTCACAGTGTCAAATGTTTTGTTCAAAATGATTTTGAAAATCTTGAGCATGATATTATTTCTGTTGAAATAATACTGACAGGGCTGTGGTGGCACATGTGACAAAAAGTTCGGAAAACACATTTCTGTTCAACCATCAGGGGTTTTCTGAAGTTTAGAATTATTTAAATATTAATTTAGATTATTTGAAATCTCATGTTGTGTTATATCATTTGAAATGGCTTTTGCTTTTCTGAACACAGCTTTTTTTCCAGCTCAAGAAGGGGTGTAACACTGTAATGATTAAACCTTCTGCCTGTGCAGCTGTTTACTTTGACCTCATGACCACAAAGCCTCCAACTGTGGCTCCGTCATTTAAAATATTATTTTGCATTCTCTCGTTTTCATGGACAAAAGCCTCTACGGTTTCCTGAGCTCTGTCAGCAGCAGCCTCTCTTATCTTGATGTGTAGGGCTCTTTGTGGTAGCTTTTACCGACTCTGAAGTGTAATTTTTCCACCTCTAATCTTGCAGAAAGTAAGCTTGAAATATCATAGATAAGCACTTTTTGGAAGTTGTTTGTGGCCTAGAGGGAATAATTTGGTATTCTCAAGCATTCCACCTTGGTGTAAGCAGTGTAAGAGATGAAGTATAAAGACCAGCATTCGTACAGAAGTGTTTTTGATTCACTGTGCTTTAGCCGTGCTCAAATATAGGACATTCGGAAAAGGGTACAGCAGTTTATCATGTAAGTTTTTGTGTTTTTTCTTTCGAAAGAAACCGCCCTAGATCTATGAATAATAAATACGGGTGTGTAAACATTTCTGAATCGGAATGGGCTGGGAGATATTTGGCCCTGTTTTCCTTATCTACAGTTTCTGCATATGAAGGAGGGGAAAAAATGAACAAACAAAGAAATTTTCAGATGACAGTTTCAGGCCCATTTTTTGTCCCAATTACACTGGTGTATTTTCACAGCTAAATTGTTTTTACTGGTGCGTGAAATTTATAGACTGATCCTGCCTTGTCTGAACTGAGGCCAAATATATCCATATATGCTCTATATAGTGTTAGATTTGGGGAGAAAAATCTATTACACTGATTTAAAATATCTTGCAGCTACTTCTACACTCCACCTTGTACCTAATCTGTCCGGACATTGACTAATTAGCATGGGCCTCCAGTGCATTTGCCAGTCTGGAATGAATTGTATGCATCCTGCTGATGTTCCTTCTCTTCCTGTGGTTCCCCATAAATTTATTCACCTTTTCTCTGCTCAGAATCCATGCATAACAATAAGTGTACTGTGAGTTGCGTCTACTAATCTTTGGTTATTTGACAGTTTGTCTCAATGTATGTGGGAGCTGGGAAGAGAAGTGTGTGTGTGTGTGTGTGTGTGTGTGTGTGTGTGTGTGTGTGTGTGTGTGTCTCACGCAGCAGAGTGGGAGAGTTAAGTGTGTGTGTGTGTGTGTGTGTGTGTGTGTGTGTGTGTGTGTGTGTGTGTGTGTCATGCAGCAGATTGGAAGAGTATTTGATCATGTCTTTGACAATGCCTGTGACAGTGACAGCCTGCACTGCTTGTGGAAAAGCCAGTCTGACTAGAGCCTCTGCCAGCAGTTGTGGTTGCTGGCGGTGGGGGTGGTGGGTTCGGCGTGCTGCTCTGATCTGCACAGCACATGGATGATGAGTCTGAGTCTTTGGAACAAGCTTAAGTGTTTTGTAGCCTGTTCCTCAGCCACACAGAAGTCTTAACCATCCATTGAGGCTGGGCATTAAAGAGCTGAAGGTTACATCTGAACCAATGTAAAGGCCTTGAGCAAGTTACAGCTACTGCAAGTAATTCAATCTAATACAGAAAACAGGAAATTATTATGTTTCAGTCCAGTTGCTCATCTTTTCTTCTTTAGAATAACTTGCAGTATTTACAGGCAATAGAGCAGGACTAGATTTCCTATTTTTGCAGATTATAAAATGTAAGTCGGTCAATGTCGCAAAATAAAAAATCTCTGGCAACTCTGGCACAAATCCTGTGTATTACACAGCTACTTACCAAAGAATTCATGGACATGAAATATTGATTCGAGTTGAAATTGTTTTATAATTTTATCTGTACAGCTTAATGTTTCCACTAAAAAATATAAATATAAAAAAATATTACATACAAACTTGGCTTTGCAACAAGACAAACACTGCAATAGTATTACAGTAATATAATTATAGTAATATACTTCTTAAGTCATGTAGGGTAAACAGTGATAATTTAATAATTTAGCTCAAAGGGAATCATTTAAGATTTTAAAGGGAACTCCACCATTAATATGCAAGGGAATTAGGACAGAATCACTGTTTTACGGCTGATCACTGAGACGGCCAGCGAGTCAGTGAACGAGCCGTATGACATCAATTCTGCAATGGATATCTATATCCAAAATATAGTGAAAACACTATTAATTAGCATAGTAACAAGATCGGCAGTTTAAGACATTAACTTGTGAGCACAAAACACAAGATACTTCTCTTTTCCATATAAATAAGGCTTTATTGGATAAATCTAAGACATATAAACTAATCTAACACACGCATTCACACACAAGTTTGATATCCTACAGTCATTTACACTACAACTGATAACTGAGACCGATTCAACTGAGACAACTGATAACTCAGACTACAATTGATAACTGAGATAACGTTTATGAAGGTCCATGAACGGTGGACCTTCATGTGTCAGACTTTGTTCCGTGTTTTGTGTGTGTTTTGCTCCCCATGTGCCCTCCTTGCCCATATTTGTTTAGTTTCCTATTCCTGTCCTGATTATGTTGATTTAATTCCAGGTGTTCCCAGTTTCAACATACCACTCCAACGGCTCCTACCGCCTGCCCAACCCAGTCAAGCCCGCCGGCCGCGGCTCACTCAAGCCCGCCGGCCGTTTCACCCGTAACTGGCTGCCCAGTTCAACCGTAACCAAAGGAGGAGGACAAAGAGAAAAGGACTGTTCTCTGCCTTCATCCTAGCCTCAGAGCTCACTCCAGTGTCGGCTCCAGCCCTAGCGCTCGCTCCAGTGTCGGCTCCAGCCCCAGAGCTAGCTCCAGTGTCGGCTCCAGCGCCTGAATTTGCTCCAGTGCCAGCTCCTCCAGAGCGCCCTCCAGTGCCAGCTCCTCGTAAGTGCTTCCCAGTTCCCGAGTCTAGCCCACTGAGGGCTCCTGATCCCCCGTTGAGCCTAGGGAGAACTCCAGATCCCCAGTTAAGCCCAGGGAGGGCTCCAGATCCCCAGTTAAGCCCAGGGAGGGCTCCAGTCCCCTGTCATGGCGCACGGAGGGCCTTGGAGCCTGCAAGCGTCCCCAAGCATTTTTTGTTGGGGGGGGCTCCAGCCGTAGAGGCGGGGGCTGGGGCTGGGGCCGCGGCCTCGGAAGCTGCTTTGCCATGGCCTCCTGAACTACCTGCGCCACTGTGGCCTCCAGGGCGGCCAGCTCCGCCATGGCCTCCGAGTCTGCCTGCTCCGCCATGGTCGCCTGAGTTCCCTGCTCCGCCATGGCCTCTGAGTCTGCCTGCTCCTAGAGGCCTCCAGGGCACCCACGCCGTTGGATGTTATACAGCGCGGGATGCGCCTTCCGGAAGGGGGGAGTCATGTCAGACTTTGTTCCGTGTTTTGTGTGTTTTTTGCTCCCCATGTGCCCTCCTTGCCCATATTTGTTTAGTTTCCTGTTCCTGTCCTGATTATGTTGATTTAATTCCAGGTGTTCCCAGTTTATTTCCATTGATCCCAGGTGAGTCTCGTCATCCCCTCGTCTTATCATGTGTTTAAATAGTGTTCCCTGTTTTTAGTTCAGGGTCCGGTATTGTTTATGTCTACATGTGCTATGTGAGTTTTCCTTGTTCCTTGTTATAATTAAAATTCTCTGGATTGATGTACTCCTCATCTCCCTCCGTTCCTTTCTCTGCACTCCACTCAGTAGTGCAACCGTGACAGAATACCGGACCAAAAAGAGATTATTGCAGCTGAGGTCGCGTTGTAGGGTTTGCATGTATATATGCATGAAGGTCGACCGTTCATGTAGACTTTCTTGCTTATTTTTCGTTTTTCTAAAAGTCACAGATTTTCCTCTACCACACAGAAGACTTTAAAGGCATTAAAGAGCTGAAGGTTACATCTGAACTATTGTAGAGGCCTTGAGCAAGTTACAGCTACTGAAAGTAATACAATTCAGTATGTAATGGAAATTGTTACAGTCCAGATGCTCATCTTTTCTTCTTTAAAACAACTTAAAGTACTTAACACCACTAGAGTATGACTAGATTTCCTATTTCTGCACATTATATGCTGAATCCGCTGAATCCTGCTTATTATGTGGCTGCTTACCAAAGAAATCCATTTATGGACTTGAAATATTGATTTCAGTTGAAATTGTTTTATAATTTTGCCTGTATGATATCTTAAAGCTTCCGCTAAGGAAAAAATATCCATTACATACAAAATCGGATTTGCAACCAGATGAACACTATACTTCAGTAATATTAACTACTACAGTATCTATATTACTGTAATATTAACACTGAAGTTCTCCAAAGTAATTTTTTACTATGCACTAGTTGTGTTTGTATGCAACAAGAGTGACTCTGCAGTGTGATACTAGAAACATGAAAGCAGTGCTGGCTTGTTGCCTGCATGAGTGGACTGATATATGGCATTGCCATAGACAACAGTAAATATTATCTAACTCCATCTAATTAAAAACACAACTATTCGCATGAAAATGTTAGATTTTAAGAAAGAAATTAAGGACCCTCTGTGAGGTGTAGGCAGATTGTACGAAAGCTTGCAGATGAGATTGTATGGATTCACAAAATCTTAAAATAGTCACAAATTGCTGTGAGAGTGTCAACATAAGACCGTAAATCAGAGTAAATTATTCCACAGATCTATGTAATAAAGAAGCAATATCAAAGTAAAAAGTCCAGCAATATAGCATTCTGAATCCAAACTCTCCAGCTACGTGACTACAATGGAGTAGTTTAAATTACATGCTCTTTCAAAGCTGCATTATTACACGTTTTTCTCTAATCTGTTTCCTCTTGAAGAGTGATCAGTCCATGGCCTCCTCATTTTTTCAATAGCAGCAACATCATCTTGTTGCCTCAAAACAAACACATGCCCAAAGAATATCCATTTACTTTGATTTACTAGATGAAGCGCATAATGAATTTTAATGCAGTGCTGTTTGATGTCATTATCCATGGATGCACACACTGTTTCCATTACCATAGAGATGCAGGTATTGTAATAAGCAGCTGTGTACAGTAGCTAAAAAACAGAAAGTTGATCAACATACTTGTGAAATAACAACTCACATTGAGAGACTGAATAGAATAGAATAGAATAGAATGAAATGCAAGCATAGCAACCATGTCATTTTAGAAGCTTTTCGGTCAGTACTCATTCATCCGTGAGTCCTGAGGTCTGTCTTATTATATAAAGCTGTTGAGATGGTACTGTACAATGAAAGTCAAAGAGCAGCAATTGGTTCTCTACTTATCATATCAGCTTATTCCATTGAATACAAAGTATCGGATTGCAAAATCCATGTACTGTATGGAGATTAATGGGTTCCTTCAAGCACAAAATGTGTAATCTTCCCATTAGAGAACCGGGGAAGTGATAACCTTCTATTTACAAGCATGTAGATTTTAGAAGGTATTGTTCTGCTCAACCAAATCCAAACAGAAGGTAAATCAAACCCCATTTATTCATTTCAAAGTCTAAGTCTTCCATGAAGACAAACTATTGTAGTGATTTCCTTTGGATTTCTAAAGCTGAATAGCAGCCCAGAGGGGGGGTCATTTTTCATCAAGTCTATAATATGGACAAGGCTTTACTGCGGCTTCTGAAAATTTCTACTTTTGACTGCACATATTGGTTTAATTTTGATGTGCGCGGTTTTAAAATTGCATTGACTGACTGATTAGTCTTATACAAATTGAATGGTCCCTGAATTTCGCATGATGTCTCTGACCCGAAGACATTTATTAGACCCCCATAACGCATAGGAGATGGTCTACTAAATATAGTGCATTGAGATGCTCTTCATGAATTGAATTTGTCAGGCTAGAGCTTAGGGATTTGATTCTCTTGCATGCCAACTAGCTCTCAAACATGCTTAGCAATTATTGTCCAAGTTCCTGTACAAGAATGTCAACAAATGCGTGATTGTGTTTACCCATATTTAAACATTCCATTTAAAATGAGCGCAGAGGTTTTGGCGAGAGTTTTTTTTTTGTTGTTCTTTCTTAAAAAGCATGTCTCTCAAAACCTCAGTGCCGTAGCTATCCATACTCATTAATCACGCTAGCTCATGCTAATGTGACGCCATCCCATCGGATGGGCAGCTCAAACTCTCATGAGAGAGAAGAGAATAAATTTATAGCTGCCCCAATTTATTAATTGTACAATGTCGTAACATTTTCCCTTTTAAGCGCACTTCAGCTCAACGGACAAATGGCAGCCAAAACTTTCAAGCTACACGGACTGATTATGCGTCTCTATTTGCAGCCCAACTGTGTCTGAAAATTTGTTTTTGACCTTGTTGCGTGTTTCTTTTTTAATCTAGGCCTGGACTTACAGATTATTGCACTGCCTGCTAAGAAAGGGGGTAGGTAGTGTGTTTGTTTAGAAGGGCGGAGATGCGTGCCAATAGCAAAGTTCACCATCTCCCATGGCACTCCTTGTCTTTGAAAAATATTACAGAAATTATAATGAATTACGCAATAAAGGAGTGGCGAGAGTTTTTTTTTTGTTGTTCTTTCTTAAAAAGCATGTCTCTCAAAACCTCAGTGCCGTAGCTATCCATACTCATTAATCACGCTAGCTCATGCTAATGTGACGCCATCCCATCGGATGGGCAGCTCAAACTCTCATGAGAGAGAAGAGCATAAATTTATAGCTGCCCCAATTTATTAATTGTACAATGTCGTAACATTTTCCCTTTTAAGCGCACTTCAGCTCAACGGACAAATGGCAGCCAAAACTTTCAAGCTACACGGACTGATTATGCGTCTCTATTTGCAGCCCAACTGTGTCTGAAAATTTGTTTTTGACCTTGTTGCGTGTTTCTTTTTTAATCTAGGCCTGGATTTACAGATTATTGCACTGCCTGCTAAGAAAGGGGGTAGGTAGTGTGTTTGTTTAGAAGGGCGGAGATGCGTGCCAATAGCAAAGTTCACCATCTCCCATGGCACTCCTTGTCTTTGAAAAATATTACAGAAATTATAATGAATTACGCAATAAAGGAGGAGTAGAATTCACAAGGCCAAACTTTAAGATATGTGACCTCCATCAAATGAAGCACAACTGAAGGATTCATATGAAACCAGCCATTCTTAGATACTTCTCCTTTTCATCTTGTGATTTGAAATGCCTTGTTTACCTGTACTCAAAAAAAGGCTGAACAATTGCTTGTTTCTTCAACTATGTTGAATAAGGGATATTGTTATATACAACGTCTCGGTTACGTATGTAACCCTCGTTCCCTGAAGGAGGGAACGGAGACGTCACGTCGGAGGACCGACGAATTGGGATCTCGCTTAGAGGGACCAGTCTACTTCGAGTGTAAACTAAACGAGCCAATGCACATTGGCATGCGATTATTGCATCCAGCTGCTGCTGATCACAGCGTGAGTATAAGTAGGCAGCAGATGCAGTGCATATTCAGGTTTTGGCTGAGGAGCCGAGCCGGTGACCCGGCCGCTCAGCGGTGGTACAGGAGCTGTGGCGACGAGACGTGACATCACTTTTAATCTTAAAAGTGACTGAAAATCTCAAAAATAATATATGAATTATGTAATGCTATGTTATAAGCTCAATATCACTTGTGACCATTTTCCCCCACCTTTTTCAAGATATGTGAATATATTATTGTGCATTTCAGATACTTAAAATGCTAGCTATGAAAGTAGCTTTAGCGAGAGAAAATAAAATCAGTCTTTATATTTAAAATGTTACACAATGCTTGTTTTGAGATGTTGCAGAAAGACTTTTGGGGGAGAAATTACATTTCCAGTTGCACTACAGTCATCCAAACTTCAGTCAAATCCTTCTCCAACTTAAATTATTCCTGCAATAAAATAATTAAGGGATGTAATTAGATTTCCACATCCATAAGCCATTTTAAAATATGTTCTGCACACTGAGTGGCATGAGAAGAGGTCAATAGGGCACAGCATGTATTTTTGAGAAAGAAAACAAACAGCCACACATTCCTCCATTATAACCCTCGGCATCCACAATGCATCAGGCTGCCAGTGGTCTTCTCTCTCCATCCTCCCACACGTTTCTTTCTAAATTTGTCTTGTGGGCTCAGAGATAGACACTGGCAATTCATTGCAGACTAGAATCATTATCCCAGTTGTATATGGCTCCAATAACTTTAAGTTCATGCAGTTGTGTGCCAGTATCACAGTGACGTTACAGAAGTGGTTTCCAAACTTTTTTGGTCACTCCCCCTTTAAACCTATAAAAACATCTGGCGGAAAAATTATTTTATTTTATTTTTTTACACACAGGCTTTCCTCCTCACCAATGACATTAAACACGGTCTACACCGGACGCGAGCGGCAAAATACAGTAGAACCCATTATAATCAGTGACGCTGTGTACACTGGATGCGACGCGACACGACAAAA